GTGGCACACTACATACTGAAAGCTTTAGGGAATACCTCCAAAGCCACACAGAGTCTTATCTATATTAAAACAGAGTGCAAAAATGCTTGAAAGAGAAAAGTGCCATGCTAACTGCAGTGTTGAAAGCATAGCAAGGCTCTACTAGCTTATGCTTTGTGGCCTGGTTGTACCAGTGCTCTTCTTCATTTACATCACCTGTAGTATGCATGGTACCATACTGGCTGACAACGCTCCCAGTTTTAGTCAGATAGAAAATAAATCTTCAGGATTCACACTAAAACCAGACACTGCATCCCATTTTTTTCAGTGAAACAAAAAGGCCATGACAATATTTTCCAAAAAACCTCTGGCTGTTAGCAGTGCAAACCCCAAAGTCAGGGAACCTCTCACTCATAATGTATAAGCTTTAACGAACACAGCTAATAAATATTATTGCATTAAAAAAGCTTCCTCTACAAATACAATATTCTGCTTTTTAGCTAAGCTATTAGATGTTTCTCCTATTCTTAGGAAAAAGTTCTTGACATATTAACCCAACTGTCACTTTTCATTTACTCTGACAAATTAAGAGGAGAAACAACCCTCCTCTAACAACAGCAAAGTTTTCAAGGATGTCACAACCCAAGCACCTTCAGCCACTCGAGGAAACGCCAGCCTCAGAGCAGTGTTCCTTCCTCCTCCCACCCTGCTCGCTGCCAGGTGGCACCGCAGGTGTCAAGGACAAGTTCTGCAGTCCCACCTCCTAGGGCGAAGGTGCCTCTCTGTACTGGAGCATCATGTATTGCAGCAACAGAGAAGAAAGGTTCACACACCGCAAAACAGGAATAGGAAATACTCTGAACAAGGATTCCTTTTTCCTATTTCTGAGCATCCCCGCAGTGCCCCGAGCACATCAGCAGCTCAGCGGCAACGCCAGGAGGAACCTTCGCCCGGTGCCACCCGCCCGCAGGCCCAGCCAGGGGCAGAGGCCGCTCCCATTATAGGAAACATACCAGCTAAAAAGAGATGTAACATGAATAAAAGTATTATTAGTGCTAGAATGATGTTAAGGCACAGAGCAAAACAAATGTTAGCGTTTAAAAAGGACTTATATATTAGACAGAAGTGTCGTATATATGATATCTTTTGCCAAATAAGCATATTTACTACACTAATTCAAGGTATTGTAAGGTACAACCTGTAGAAAAGAAAAATCTAGGTTACCATAGCTCACTGAAACCAGATAGCATCTACACCAAATATTACCGAAACATTTCAGAAAGCAGAAAACCAAAGATGATTGCTCAATAAGGACTCTACGAACTTCATAGTTCTAGTAATCCTTAATAAACCCACACTTAATCCCCAGTCCATTAACTGTTGGCCTAGCTTAAATCCCTCTTTCCTCATAATTGATACTTCTTAACTTGTAAGATTCACATCTCAAAATCAGAAGTCAAAGTAGAAAACTAGTATGACTTATAACTTTTAAGTTTATACTGCTGGGCTCATCTACAGCCTCTTGAACATTAGATACAGATAAATCACCCATAAAGCAAAAAAGTAGATACTAAGTCACTCTCCTGAACAGAAGTCAGTTAATGGTGACAGATAAATGTTGCCATCTACAAAAAGTTTTCACCTCCAGTGTTCCCCCAGATTACCTTCTCTGTTTCTCTTCCAAATCTATCAGTCCACTGATAGCAACATGCCTTGGTCTTTGTTTCCAACATTAGACCAAATGTATAACTTATAGAATCATAGAATCATAGAATCATAGAATCTTAGGGGCTGGAAGGGACCTCGAGAGATCATCTAGTCCAACCCCCCTGCCAGAGCAGGGTCACCTAGAGTACATCACACAGGAACTCATCCAGGTGGGTTTTGAATGTCTCCAGTGAGGGAGACTCCACAACCTCCCTGGGCAGTCTGTTCCAGTGCTCTGTCACTCTTACAGTAAAAAAATTTTTTCGGATATTCACCTTGAACTTCCTATGCTCCAATTTACACCCATTACCCCTTGTCCTATCACTGGTCATCACTGAGAAAAGCCTAACTCCGTCCCCCTGACACTCACCCCTTACATATTTGTAAACATTGATGAGGTCACCCCTCAGTCTCCTTTTCTCCAAGCTAAAGAGACCCAGCTCCCTCAGCCTTTCCTCATAAGGGAGATGTTCCACTCCCCTAATCATCTTCGTAGCTCTGCGCTGGACTCTTTCGAGCAGTTCCCTGTCCTTTTTGAACTGAGGGGCCCAGAACTGGACACAATACTCCAGATGTGGCCTCACCAATGCAGAATAGAGGGGGAGGAGAACCTCTCTTGACCTACTAACCACACCCTTTCTAATGCACCCCAGGATGCCATTGGCCTTCTTGGCCACAAGGGCACATTGCTGGCTCATGGTCATCCTCCTGTCTACCAGGACCCCCAGGTCTCTTTCACCTACACTACTCTCCAGCAGTTCAGCCCCCAACCTGTACTGGGACATGGTGTTGTTCTTCCCCAAATGTAAAACTCTGCACTTCCCCTTGTTGAATTTCATCATGTTTCTCCCCGCCCAATTCTCCAACCTATCTAAGTCTCTCTGAATGGCAGCACAGCCTTCTGGTGTGTCAGCCACTCCTCCCAGCTTAGTGTCATCAGCAAACTTGCTGAGGGTACATTCTATACCCTCATCCAGGTCGTTGATGAAGATGTTGAACAACACCGGTCCCAGTACCGACCCCTGTGGGACTCCACTAGTCACACACCTCCAACCAGATTCTGCCCCATTGACTACAACTCTCTGACTCCTTCCTTTCAACCAGTTCCTAATCCACCTCACTTCCTGATCACCAAACCCATACCTAATCAACTTTTCTACAAGGATGCTGTGGGATGCTGTGGGAGACGGTATCAAAAAATCAAGATAAACCACATCTACCGCTCTACCATCATCTAATCTAATCTAATCTAATCTAATCTAATCTAATCTAATCTAATCCAAGGAAGAGATGAAATGCTGCTCTTGTAATCCAGAGCAGGGCTTGCTCTAAGGTTAGCAAAGTAGGCGACCACCTCAGAAATCACAATCAATGAATTGCAGGTCACAGGCACTTGTTGACGCCCTGGGACAACACGGCAGCAGATCTGCTGCCAGCGCCTTCAGGAGCTCCAGCGAAGGTGTCCGAACGCAAGAGGCTTCCAGGCCACGCACAGCACCGAGTGCCTCTGCTGTCTGTTTTAAAAACAGATTATTTCTGAGACATACTGATATAAACCATAAAAATAGGCTATAAACAATTTCCAAAAATAGCATGATGGGACCAATACAAATATACATGAAGCAGAGCATTTTCTAAAACATTGCTTTCTTAAAAAATGAATCCATTTATCACAACATCAGCTCCACAGCCAAACCAGGAGCAAATGTGAAGTGATGTTGCCAGAGTGTAACAATCTTGAAAACACAGAAAGCAAGACGTGTTCTCTAACCTCTGCTGTCACACTGCAACTGCTTTGTCTTTAGCTTTACCAGATTTTCTCAAAAGGAACAAACCCTGTGCTTCAATATAAAATGTAAAGTGGAGCACACACATACATTACTTTGTAAAAGCCAACACTCCCGCAGCATTCCAGGGCACGAAGCTGCGTGCTGCCTCCCTGGCAAAGGAGGCACTGCCACAGGTACTTCACTAGAGGATCGTCACCGGTACCGAGAATGAGCTATGCAGTAGGAAACAGAACAGTGAGAGACAAACAGGTAGCTTGGAAGCTTATTTTATTATACTTTAGTAAGTAGGGTTTCCTGCGGATCAAGACAGCTAAGCAAGTTGTTTGAACACTTCTCTGCTTCCCAGTATAGTCTGGTATCATCTTGCTGTGTACTACTGAGCAGAATTTGGTTTGGTAATAGATAGAGAACAATTGTTATAAACAATGTTTTTCCTAATGGTAAAGTTGTTATTTTTTTTAATAAAAGTTGAACATTTTAGGCTTCATTTAAAAACACTGAAATGACCTAATAATGCAAAAATTTAATTGCTCTGTTGGTGAAATGCTGATTATAACTTAACAGCTGCCATTCAGAAGACATGCTGTTGTAGATTTTTTTTTCCCACAAGTTACAAAATATATACACAATATATCATCTTAAGATGTCTTTGGCATTCAAAATCTCAACTGAAATACAGAATCTAAAACTCAAAACTATGGTAGGTAACTCTTCTACAACAATTTTTACAATGAGTGTAAAGCTAACTTCTGAATATATGCATCATATACAATGTGCTGTCTCATACACCATTTCCAGAACAGTACACAAAAATATTTTAAACAAGAAATCCACATAAATAATGTTTCCATTGTAGTGAAGTATCTGACCAATGGTTTAAAATAAGTACTTTTACAACAGAAACATATCCTGATGTAACCAGCACATACAGTCTGAACGATAAAAGGGGACTCAAATAATCTCTGGTAAAGCCACAAGCACCTTGTGTTATGAAGAGCACCAAGGCAACAGGGACAGGAAACACAAAAGAGGTAGTGTGCCATCTGTTAAGATGTGTGTGTCCACAAAGGACTATCCTAAAACAATGTTTAAGAAAAGATTGTATTGTGGCATAATTCACTTCTCATATACAAGCTATTGCACATTGAGGAGCATTAGCCAGTACTGCTCCTTAGTATTGTTATGCTTCCAGCTTTCCTCAGGATGGTTTTGGTTTGGGGTTTTTTTTTGCAATACTGTTAAAGAGATTGCTAGGAACACTAGAGGTCCTGAAAAATTCCACATTCAGATATTCAGTTCCAGGAAATTACGCAAGAAAGCACCAACTGATTAAAAAATATTTTATCAAAGTTGTAGTCGTCTTTCTTTCCTTTTTAAACGTCATTTCTCCTTAGGAGGAAGTCTTTTTCTTGCTGAGGTTCTCTAAACAACACTGTTCAAAATGGTTCTTCGGTTCCCTAGTAATTTTGCCTGTAAGGGATGGTTACTTTTCCATTCAAGCTATGCATCAATTCCATGTTGATGCAAAAAATACTAGGACAGAAACCTTAAAGGAAGCACACTGAACCACTTTCAATGAAGTGCTGCTGTCCTGGTTTGAGATGAGGAAGTGCATTAACTTGAACAACTGGAAGCTGATTAGTGTCCTGAGTGTGAAAGAAGAACTGTGTTTTATGCCAGCTGCCATCTTCAATCTGCAACACACAGAAGCAGAACATTAGATTAATATCAAACATGAGCTTCAAGACACAAGTGGAAAACTGTGCTTAAAGAGTGAAAGCAGAAGTGCACAGAAACATTTCTTCTCCCAGCAGTCCCCCAAAAAACCCAACAAAATAAACCTGTGTCATTTAACAAATGCAATTTCTCCCATGTAATAATACCATGAGTACTCCTGGCAAACTGTAAAAACGTTTTGTAAAAAAGCTCAGCCCAGAATTCAGCTGGAGTGGATCCAGACACAGTGCACGAGGGCTCAGAGCAGAGTGCCTGTCACTTTGCAAGCAGCCCTGGGCTCAGACTCACTCTCAGGTCGCTTGCTGAGTTCACCAAATCTCAGAAGTAGTTCTCAGGTTATGAACTCTACAGTCACTTATGTGACTCTCTAGGCCCTTGAAGAATAATCGTGGGGAATGAGCACTGCATTTTTGCCATGAACTTTGGATTGATTATTCCAATCCTTTAAAAATCTCAGTAACAAATTGATGCCTCATAAAAATTCTAAAATAACATTTTAACATTATCTGAGGCTGGCGCTGTCTTGTTTGCAATCACTCCATTCTTAAAAAGCATGAAGTGGACACCACTGAAAAGTGAAATGTCTGCAGAGAGGGAAATACGCGAGATCCTGCACCAGATCTGTATAATACATAGTTTCCCACAGAAAGAGCAACAAACCACATAGAATCTCACAGAAAAATGGCACTTCTCAATAGCCATCACTCTATGCCTTAGTTTTTCTCAGTGACTAAAACAGTCCCAAACAGACTGGGAGGTGGGGGAAAGGGGCTTCAATTGCCAGACCTCAGCTCCATGACATAGGCTAGAGCATCTCATTAGCATGTGCTAATAAAGGTTGAAAGCATAACAGCTTCAAAGTGCCTCAATAAAACTTTCTGTCTTGAGATTAAAAATCTCATTTGACACCCCCATACGTTATGGAACCAGTCTCATGTCTTTCATTACAATAAATGAAAATAGAGCTATAAAACACTGGAAATGTAAAGTCCTTGGCTGCTGTATTTCATCGTGTTCTACCAAATGGCTCACATCTTGGGGAGTGGAGTACTCTAATAAGCATTAGCAATCCTAAACACAAATATGATTTAATAGTTCAGTCTGCCATGGACTCCACCTTCCAATCATCATTACTTTATTAAATAGCCAAACAATGGAATAATAGTGAATTAATTTAAAGATATCTAGTTGTCAAAAAAATAATTTTCATGCTACCTGAACCTGAGATATTGTGTTAGATAACCTCAACAGAACTCTGACTGAAGCCTGAATTTTCTTTTTGAGAGCAACTGTTCCTATTCCCTCCATTGTCTTAGCAGAATCTTGAAATACATGACATTCAATGTGAACAGCACGTACAGATTCCCTGTATTACTGCAATTGCTTTTATATTTGGGCGGATGTTAAATTCAATTTGAAAGGGTTGGTATATAAAGACATACGCAGAACAATATAAGAAGTAAACTTCAAGGGATGTGAATGTAAGTGGTTATTATTTATTTGCAGAAAGTTAATAACGTCTAAACAGTAACTCCATTATTTTAATAATTCTAGTGCTAAAAGGTAATTACCATGCATTCATCCATAAGCACCTTTGGTTCAAATAGCGTATTTGCTTTAAATACTTGACCATTCCAGCCTATGAAGCTAACAGATGTTTTCTGGCCACCTGCTTTATTTAATCCCCATGTTGGTGTGTTCAGACAATGAACAGTGATGCTATGGGTTGCTTCTGAGCTCAGTAAGTGAAGGAAGTTCATCTGCACTTTTCCCACGCCGAACTCCAGCTAAGGTTGAAGAGAAACACCTCGTTAGACTTGGAGCTGGACTAGGTTGAGTGGCCACAACAACACAAAGGGACACATGCATATGGTGTGGTGCTCGGGGGTGGGAGCATGTACACAATGTCTATACATTGGGATCAATGCCAAAAAGCATGATCTGTATTTTTCGGGAGAGCTATTAGGAGCTACAGGTTACTGCAAACAGAAGCTTTCTTGGGGCATTTTCAAAACTTCAGTATAAACATGAAGGCTTACTACATTGTTGAGGATCTCCCAAATGTAGGAATGCATATGGGAACTTCATGCTATTTCTGATATTCTCCAGTGACTATAGTCCACAAACATAAAATTTCTGTTGCCAAGGGTTTAAGGACAACATTTAAAGAACAGTATGGACTAATGGTATAAAGGAAACCAGTCTCTGCCTAATGACATTGGTAAGTAGTTAAGTGTTGGAAAGTAGTCATAAATTTCTTCCCTCCCATTGCAATGACCTTAGCATCTCTACACTTAGCTGCCCTGAGTAACGAGTTACTAATGTAGCTTAGAAGCACTTCAGGCATATTTTTATGCCTTGTATAGAAAAGTATAAAACAAAATAATTCTGTCAGCATGGAAGGTAAATGAACAAAGTGAAAATTACACTAACAGACATTGTCTCCAGAAAACATGTAACTTCTTTAACAGAATATATAATGTTCTTCCACAAAGATGCACATTAAAAAGCCATCAACTCTAACATAATTTCAGGAGTTAATTAAATAAGCATTAGTTTGTTCAGAGTTGCAGCATGGATGCAGTCTGTCTAGAAGCAAAGCATACCTTTGTCACAGACAGTGGTGTTAAACATGTCTGACCACCTGCAGTGAAGTTGCAGAAAACTTCAATAGCATCAGAAGAACATCCAATATTTGGGTCAATCCAGTATTTTCCTGTTAGTATATGATCCCAGATGGAAAATAAAAACAAAATATAATTGTTACTACGGATTTTGCTGAAATATTCATACTTTTTGGCAAGTTTTAGATACATTATCACCACAGTCACCACAGTTCTAGTAAGCGTTAGGTTTATCTCTGTTGGAGTCTTAAAGAATTGATCTGTCCTTATATATGCCATAAAGTACTGATTTCCCTGTAGCCTCTAACTTCATTTTCCATTTCCTTTTTAGCTAATACTCAATAATAGGGACATTTACAGTTATTATTTTATTAGCCACTCAGAAACTGAATTTTGTCACAGTATTGACATTACAGGTTTAAATAATTATTTTTTATTTGAAAAATTGATTCAGGAGCTTCTGGGACATACTGCCCTTGTATCTGACAATGGTAATTTATTCTATACAATTTTCTCATTAGGAATCTAGTTCACAGAAAATTCATTGCAGATTAGCTATATATACTTGGGAAACTTTGAATCATTAATTTGGATTCAGTTTCAAATTTTCTGGACACTTTTGTTTACTTTATATATGTATATCTGTCTCTAATATCTGTATAATATTAGCTACACACTTTCATCTTTAAAACTCAGAAAACTTATCTTAAATAAAGATAGATGTGACAGGCATACTTCAACAGAATATAATAAAAAAATCTACACATTAAATGTTTTGTGTAGAAAGTAACATTTAGAAGCAACAGTTGAAAGCCTCCTGGTGTTCAGACTCTAACGGCAGTGCACACTCACCATCTGCCACTCGGCGTTCACAGTGGAGCAGGTCCCTGCAGATGCGTGCGGGGTTATCCCGGCTGCCCAGGGGGTTCTTGATGCTGTGCAGCAAGTTGCTCAGGTAGTGCAGCGTTTTAAATATCTCGGTACTGTGATCTAGAAAGGTTACTTCAGTGTTCTGGTATTTCTGCCAAGGGCCATTAGCAAATGTGTTACCACAAGGAAGTATCACAACAGTATATGCAGCAAAAGTCAAATAGCCAGACAGAAGCAAAGCATTTCTAATTCATGGAACAGGGCAAGAATAACATATTCCAATTATCAAATCAGTACATTTTATTAACATTATCAGAGCAGTGAAGTTACAGGCAGGTTAAGACCATGCAAATACATAATTATGACATACTCATATAAAAATGCAGATTAAAAAAATTTTAAAATTAGCATTTTAAAAGTATAATTAGCAGTTTCAGATTTTACACAGTGAAATCTATTCTTAGGCTTAAGCTAGAATATATATGTGAATGTATTTGAGTTCACACCTGTATGGAATTTTCTTGCAATCAATGGGACCACATCCTTGTCAGTATTTTTTGGATCAAGGCCTCAGTGCCACTATCATTATCTGTGGCTGAACAGATACAGTCTATGTCTGGCACTCAGTAAGTTTCCACTACTACCAATCATGACAAAAACACTGCTATGTAGAAACACTGCTGTTTGTTCCTTAACTATTTCAATTGTATCCTATAAACCCTAGCATGTTTAATTATATTCTGCAGTAATTACTTGCTATCCATTATTCATTTTAGATCAGGTCTTTGCAAAGAAGCCCTGTTCTGTCCTCAAAAAATAGACTTATAATTGCATGACAATGTAAATACACTGAAACATACTACCTCCATCTGCAATGCAGCATTTGTCTCAATCAAAGCTTGAACAGCAGCATTGATGTCCACTTGTTTCTGAAAAAGATATATTTAAGAATATAAACAAAATGAATGGGAGTATTCTAAAATGCAGGTGGTAACTTTTTTGAGCACTGTAGCAACATATATGATAGCTTCATTATGTTGCTATTTTTAGAAAATAATTGTCTACAACACTTACTTTTAAAATAGGACCCTCCCTTCCATTTCCAAAGAATGCAAGCATGCATACAGAAAAAGCAGATTTGATTTTTATTAGTACACCCATACCTAATCTAAAGATCATACTCCTTGAACCTGGAAAAAAGATACTACAATAACTGTTAAAGACTAATGTCCCAACTTATTCCTCCCAGATATGTAGTTTATATATTTAAGAAAACTATTCCAGGTAAATGTGAAAAGGTGTTATTTGTTTACAAAGAAGCACAAAAAGAATATCTTAATCAGCCACAGCAGCTGATGGATCCAAAGCAGTCTTCATGGTGCAGGAACAAATACCAAGACTGACAAGCCCCTGAAGGAAGCAGCCCGTTTCTTGCATATCCTCATTCTCTGCACTTTGTGTGACATATGTACCAGACCCAGAAAACAGGTTTGTTTACTTTTAAATAATTAAGTCACTCACACAAGCATCTACACCTTGCAATTTGTTCTCAGATTACATATATCATTACAGGTTTAGGATAATACAGATACTGCATCTGTCCTCACTAACACAGTGTGTATATATAGAGGGAGAAAAACTGTGCCAGAAATAGCACAGTATTTTCTGTTGCTACCTTTCAGAGTATTCAAATGCAGAACAGGAGTAAAACCTTTTAGAGCATGATGGAATTAATCCATGCTAAAAGTATAAGCATGTCCATGAGTGTTGCCTGTTGAAGTCTCAACAGCATGGCAGAACAGAACTGGCAGTGTAAGATGGAAGGTTCAAAAAATGTTATAACTTTAGTGATGGAAGTTGCAGAAAAATGTATTTTCACTTCATCTGCAGTGATGGAACAAACAATGCATTTGAAGAGGATCTTGTTATTTTCACTTTCAAAAAAAGGACTCTGTTGTAGGTTAGGGTTGTTACAGAACTTACTCTTGGTCCTGGTGGTCCAGGAGGTCCCTGGAAAATGGGAGAAACCAGATATTAGGCACTCCACATGTTTATATAAAGTAAACACAACAGGAAAAAAAACCCAAAGCATGTTTTTTATGCACTTACAGGTAGCCCTGGCTGTCCCTGAGGTCCCTGAGGCCCCTAGAAGAAAAGAAGACATAATGTAATAGCTATAAATGAACACGTCTATTTTTATATTTATTTTTTTAAATCACAAATGCCACAATATGTACAGTGAAGATGATGTGACACTGGTTTTGGCAAACCCGTAGATTACTAGTTACTATTGTTAAAATACCATGCTTTGTTAATGTGTAAATATTTCTTTTAAAATGATGGAGTTGTCTAGTTACCTGTTTATCCATTTACTTTTGATATCAAGGGAACATTAGAAGTCCTACAAACTACGAATATATAATGTGCTATGCATTATGCCAGGGTTATGTGTATGTTGCCAATGCAAGTGCTACAAAGGATGATCATAAAAGCATTGAAAATAATGTTATGGGTACTTGTAAAAAAATTATCTGCTTTACTCCATGAGTATTGGTTGGTATTTATTAGCTCCACTTATTAGCAGTGTCAGTTTTCAGCCAGAACACATTATATACATTGTTGAACAAAGATATTGCAGGCTTCCTTCATATTAAAGAAATTATGGCCTTATTTCCTCATCATAAGTGGCATTATTTTATTGTGTAGGATGATGCAGTGACAGAGAGAGCAGAAGGAACAGCTGCTTTTCCATAGCTTATGGTGGCTACAATGCATGTAGTCTTAAATACAAGTTTTAGGCTTGCCTTAGGGTTGGACAGGAATGCTCCCAAAAACACTAACTCCATCTGAATTATCCTTTCTTTGAACAACTATTCACATTAGGATGGCATTATTATGAATAGTCCTTAATACACAGTGATACTTGTGTTTCTGTTAGATTCTCTTCTTCAGTCTCTATACAGTCAAAGCCTCTAGGAGCTGCTGTAAGATAAACAATAGCAAGAACAATGACAAGAATAGTTGGCAGTGACTTAATGCAAGCAGAAGAGAAGAAATGAAAGGCACAGACCAGACCTGCACCAAGTATTAGTAAAACCTTTTAACATAACTGAGTTGATTTAAGTAAAATAATCTGTAGCCAGAGCTGCTTGTACCAATTATTTCAGCACAATAAGTAGTTCCAGCAAAAGCCCTTTTACTAAGGGCTAGACACTAGTACTAAGTCTCTGCCAAAAGAGAAGTAATCTGATCTGACACAGTCATGCTGACAAATATTGAGAAATTTATCTAGTCTAAGAGGCATTAAGTTTTAAATCACTTAATATAGTAATAAGAAGTATTCCTGCTATGAGATTTCACAGCAAGATCTGTGTGTCACTGCATGTTACAACTGTTGAACTTAGATATTAGGAGGAAATTCTTCACTATGAGTGTGGTGAGACACTGGAACAGGTTTCCCAGGGAAGTTTTGGAAGGCCAGGTTAGATGGGGCTCTGAGCAACCTGTTCTAGTGGGAGGTGTCCATGTCCATGCAGGGAGCTTGGATCTAGATTGTCTTTAAGGTCCCTTCCAACCCAAACAATTCTATGATTCTATGAACTTCAAGCTGCCAGTGATAAGGGTGGCTGGAAACAGTTAAAGAAAGGCCAGATTCAATCTTACATTTACTAATGTATATTTTAAAATCACATAATTCCTACCATCAGATCTATACCAACAAGGCTATGTTGAGGGACTGCAAATTACATTTGAGACTGACACCCACATGCCTTACACATGTTCTTTGGAGAACAGAGGAGAATCAAAATTGCAATGATTTCTGGGTGTTTAGGGAGATGGTATTCTGATACTTAACTAACAGGGCTTTAATGGCATAAGCTAGAGGGACTGTAAATATTGTCAGCTTTTCAGCTGATGCATTCTGACCTATTTATGTTTAATCAAGCTGTACTTATATAAGAGATGCTAAGCTATATTTTAGGTAAATATTTACTGATATTTTTAAAAGACATTAGTGCTTGATGCTGGACTAAGTAATTTTAGCATATACAGTAGTCTAGAAAACTCAGTGGGTTCTGTGTCAAGTACCTACCTTCCCTTCATTCTTCTGAGTTTGATTATTGGTGAGCTTGACATTTTCTTTTAAATCTTATTACTATTAAATAGGCATCAAATATTATTGTTGCTATTCGTTATTACAAAACTGATGAGATACGAGTTTGCAGAGATGGCACTCACTATTTTGGCACAGTCCCTCAGCTGTTGCAAATCCACTGGTTTCACAGAGCTACACTGATGTGTGCCAGCTGAGAAGGATAACGGCCACATTTAAATTCATCAGATCAGCATCTCAGCTGCTGTTAAGACTGCTGCAGGATACCTTAAATCCCATGGGAATACATTACTGAACTGTATGATCATGCTTGGTGAAGTAGGTTTAGTACAAAAGGAAAGAGAAAGTGTGAAAAAGATCTCCATCAATGAATTTGACAGTGCAAGGACATAATTGTTTATCTTGGTCAAACCTTGATCACGCAAATACCAAGGCAAGGCACAAAGTCTTCAACAGTTATTCCCTAAGTCACCACACACCTCTGATGAATAGATGTCCTTGTTCTGGGTGCTGAGATTTAGACATTCCAGTGGATTTTTCAGATGACTGAGTGCTTCAGTTCATATTCTATGTTCTTGGCATGTGTAACAATTTTAAGACTTCAAAAGTCTTGGCATGAGAACAGTTCATATTTATAGTGGTTTCTGAGATAGAACTGAATAGTTAAAAATAAAAACTGCACTGCTCCAATGAATTTAAGGTATTTTACAAAAGAGGAAAATGGTTTGCCTGGATTCACCATCTTCTTGCCAATAAAAACTGTGTCAAAAAAAAGGTAAATATTGCTATTTGTTAACAATAGTAAACTACTTTTGGGGATATTACATTTCTTAAATTATTGTAACTTCACAGGGATTTATCAATTACCTTTACAAAACTTTAAAATATAATAACACTGCACAGAGTATGTTGAAAAACCTGTAAAGATGTTATAAATGTTCTTTCTTTCTCTTGTAGTGCAGCAAAATAAGGTTAAATTACACTTCTCATGGATTAATTTAATTGTTTTACTGGAATGTACAGGATTATCTTTACAAATCTACTTAATTTACACTTTGATCACATCAGAATATAAGTGAGAAAACTGTAATTCCATTTCATAATAACAAAAGGCGAGATTAGAACAGTTACTTTTAGTGTGCTCTCCAGATCTTTAATCACCCAATTTCATTGCTAGTACGGAAGTTCAAAGGCCAAAACCTCAGTCTTTCACTAATACAGTGAGTCCTTGGTTTTACTTGCAATGATACATATGCTTAACTCTGAAAACATGAACAGTCCCCAAGACTTCCATATTTTCCCTGACATTTGAAAAATTGCTAAGAAACAGGAAGTAATTTTAACAAAAAGCTTAATGTAAAGCTTTCCCTGACCACTTTTTGTCATTTTTATGTTACGTCACCATATCTCAAATGGGTAAAGGCTAATAACATCCTGTACTATAGTAGTCTGATACACAACACAGCATAGCATATCATACCATATATCGTATCGTAGAATATCTTTGTTCATGTTGAGGATAGTCATGCACTGGAACACACTGCTCAAAGAGATTATCCAATCTCCATCCCTAGAGATTTTCAAGACCTGGCTGAATAAAGCCCTGAGCAACATGGTCTGATCTCAGAGCTGATCCTTTTTTAAACAAGGGATTGGTTTAGAAACATCTTGAGATCCCTTACCATCTGGGTTATCCTATGACTCTACATATACTGGGACCAGTGCTGTTTGACACCTTTGTTGCTGACATGCACAGTGGCACTGAGTGCACCCTCAGCAAGTTTGCCAATGACACCAAAGTCTCTGGAGACATCAACACGCTGGAGGGAAGGGCTGCCATCAGAGGGATCTTGACAGGCTTCAGAAGTGGGCTTGTACAAACTGCATGAAGGTCAACAAGGCCAAGTGCAAGGTCCTGCACCTGGGTCAGGGCAATCCCAAGCACAAATACAGGCTGCATGGAGAATGGATTGAAAACAGCTCTGAGGAGAAGGGACTTAGGGGCGATGAGAAGCTCAACATGAGCTGGAATGTGAGCTTGCAGCCCAGAAAGCCAACTGTCCTGGGCTGCATCAAAAGAAGCATGGCCAGCAGGTCAAGGGAGGTGATTCTGTCCCTTTACTCAGCTCTCGTGTGACTCCACCTGGAGTGCTGTGTCCAGTTCTGGAGCCCCCAACATAAGAAAGACATGGAACTCTTGGAGAAAGTCCATATAAGGGCCATGAAGATGATCTGAGGGCTGGAGCACCTCTCCTATGAAGACAAGCTGAGAGAGTTGGGGCAGTTCAGCCTGAAGAAGAGAAGGCTCCAGGGGGACCTTAGAGAGGCCTTCCAGTACCTGAAGGGACTACAGGAAAGCTGGGAAGGGGCTTTTTACAAGGGCTTGTAGTGAGAGGACAAGGGGTAATAGATCAAAACTGGAAGAGGGGAGATTTAGTATTTAGTGTGAGGATGGTGAGACACAGGCACATGCTGCCCAGGGAAGTTGTGGAAGCCCCATCCCTGGAAGTGTTCAAGACCAGGCTGGATGAGGCTCCGAGCAACTTGATCCAGTGGAAGGTGTCCCTGCCCATGCAGGGGGGTTGGAAATGGATGATCTTTAAGGTCCCTTCCAACTCAAACCTTTCTATGATCCTATGATTATAATTCATGTGACATGCTATGAAATAAAAACAAAACCATAAAATTAAGAAAATTAAAACACTTTCAGTAATGTCAGAATTCTGAAACAATATTCCAAAATTTTGTTAATGTTTCTTTATGTTTCAATCACAGTGAGACCAATATTTTGAATTGAAAAATAATTTTCATTGAATTTTTTATACAAATTTGGTTTTGCCTCTATCAATTTTTCTCCAGAAATAGGCTACAGGACCTTGACTTTTGTTCACCACTGACTTCAACAAGGAGATACGATTTAACATTCCATGTTTTTCAGGGGATAAAAGGATATTTTTTTCTAATAATGAACACTGTATCCCTGATAGACTGAAAACTGTAACAAAAACTTGGACTGCTACAAAAAAGTTAAAGTCTCTGTGATTCTAGGAAGAATGCCAGTATCAATTTTAAAGGTAGAAGTTCAAGCTGCAAATACACAGTTTGATGAAAATAATTTTCTCTCCTTTGATTCTGAAAATAGTTGGAAATAAATCCTTTTCTTGGCTACAGAAAATAAACTAATGCCACTGAGTATGATTTAAAATTAAACATTCTTCTTCTGAAAGTCAGTCTTAGGAGATGAGTTCATTTTGCTGAATTCAAAAACTTATTTAGGAAATAACTGCTTCAACACCAGCACCAATAATGGAAAGGAGTGCTTCTTGTTCACCATTTTGGATGGTTTTTATTAGCATTTTTAAAGTGTTACTATTTTTAGTTCCATGCTATCATAGCAATTTTTATGATCTAACAGAAGAAAAAGACAGTTAAGATAGTTATAGCAGCACAACTTAAGAATCTGATTTTTCCCTTACTCTAAGAAAGGCATGGTCTGAAGAGAATTAGATTCAAAGAGGAAAGTTCCTCAAGACACATACAGTAAGCTTAGTCCCACGCCTTAATTCTTTAAGCAGTTTTTAAGATTTCTGATTTATTTTTCAAAGCTTTTATAGGGCAGTTAGGTTGGAATTGTACATAGGTGGCTGTTAAAAAGAAAATACAGTAATACAAGTGAAACTAAATGGTTTTAAGTGAAGTGGGATGCAAGGCAGGGTAGGAGCAACAGGAACAAGATGACATCGGACAGTTACTGGAAAAGGAACTAATTATAAACCTGTCATATAAAGTAGTGTCACAAGTATTACTGTGTTTATATTTGCTGTCAATATGATAAATTGACACTGACTTTTCACATAGCCATTATCAATTGTAGGCTTTACTAGCTCTAAGACAATATAAAAATTAAAATCCAACATTTATTGATGTACAAAACGTAATGTAAGTTTCTTACTGAAAAATAAGAAAGAGCAACTTCAGAACCTATCAGTGCTGCCTACAGCCACCACAACTGGGATATGTTGCACTGATGTGCGTCCTCAGCCCCAGGCTCCCCCTGAACTTCTGCCTCTCTAGACAAGATACAGACTTTGAACATGCGTATGTGTGCTGGGTTGTGAGGGACTGGAGCATTGACAACAAATGTGACAAAGGATTTTTCTTTTAGAACTGAACTGGGACAGATAAGAAGTACATGACTGCTGTGGTTAGGGCCCACACAGCCTGGCAGCACACACTCACTGAGCATATTTACATAAGTCAACTTCAACAAGAAAAGGTCAGACTTTTGACTCATGCAAAAAGCTTTCTGGGCCAGCACTCTCCAGGAGCACAACACAACTGTCTGGCATTCAGAACATTGTGAGGGTAGAAGTACGTTCAGAGTCACATAGAAACACTTCTTACACAGGCAAAAAATGAATGCACAAAAGCAGTTTCATCTCACCATTTCACCCCTTGTGCCCTTTTCACCTCTTGGTCCCTGTAAGAAAGAGCAGCTGTTAATCCAATTTGCTTTCTAGCCACCTTAGACTGAAATAAGCAAATCAGTATCCATGAGAGTTATTGGCCTCACATGAAAAGTCCAGTCTCATCTGTGGAAGCATTTACAACTCTGGGGCTTTAATTTTTCTGTACTATTAGAAATATACAGTACTTGATAACATCTTTAAATTCCCCTAGGTGGAAAACTGACTTTTCAGATTATAAATACATTTTTTCTTAGTAATTCTGTCAGTGTTCTCCCTATCAATCACCTGTACTGACTTTTTTGTCACTTTTTTTTTTCTTCATGTTTTTTCTTGCATGTATCATAGATGCTGGAGTCACACGTGTTCACTCACCAGTGTGGTAAAATATGAAGATGGTCCTGCTAGCTGCTGTTTGCAAATGGAAACATGAGAAGGTTGCCAGTTGCAAAAGGGACTATTAAAATTAAGGGTAGATGAAATAACCAAAGTATGCAAAAGAGAAACTTACAGGCCTGCCAGCTGGGCCTGTTATGCCTTCTTGACCAACGGGGCCGATATATCCCTGTAAACAAGCAAAAGATTTATTAGTACATCATGTTCTCAAAATGAAGAAAACGCTGGTGACGTGTCCTGATTTGAAGTTGCTCAGCACATAGTCCTGGCAAATATCCAAAAGATCATGCTGAATACTGAGTGCACATTGCTACAAAATCAGGAAAGTAGTTATTTTAATAATTAGTAATAATTATGTTTGGAAAGCCCACACACATTCTTTTAAGTGAAAGCTGATGCACTACAACCAGTGGAAACTTAAATACATTGATTACCAAAGGCCACGTATTTATTGAGCTACAATCAACTATATCTTGAACTATATTACTGCCCACAGTGGTCTTGTAAATCTGCCAGTAAGTACTACTAAAATGTTACCTTCCTGTTCCATTTCATTTTGAGCACATTGCTCATTCCCAGTGTTTATCTTGTACAGAAATGTTTAGAGGAAAAAAATAGCTATTAGAACAGACCCTGAAGCTGCTCCTCTGCATCTGGTTAACTGAACTAAGTTATGTTCTATGACTGAATGGCAGCAATAAGATAAAAATGTTTTGTGGAGATAAAATTATACTAGGGGAGCCACACCACCAGCAGAGCTTGCTTTTTTTCTTCAAGATTGAGAACCCAGCCCTGCCTGTGTACCTGTGCCCATCTTGCAACTAGAGCAGTGTGCCAGTACAAGCAAAGTCTCAGAGAGAAAGGTTTGGCTAGAGGGTTCCAGCCTTGTTAATAAGAAAAAAGATTCCCAAAATTAAAAATGTGTCACTTGCAAGCTATCCTGTCTCTGTCATGGAGTGAAACACTTACAGCTTGGCCCGTTGGACCTTTTGGGCCCAGAATTCCAACTAAGCCAATGTCCCCTGCAGGACCCTGAAAATGCAAAGGAACAGTTTAGTCAAACATGAACATTAGCTATCTACTTCTTTCAATCTCTTCTAATCAGTGGAAATAAGATAATTTCTAAGAGCAGTAACAGTGAAAATACCAAGGGCACTGACCCAGAACATTTGTCTTTGGACATGGAGTACACAGTTCTCCCTACAAAATTCCAACAGTTCAGGTTGATTTAGACAAAATATTGTTAAAGCTGCTTAATTCTGTGCTTTCCTGATGTTCTCACTCTGTAAAAGGCTTAAGGTCTGACAGAAAAGAATGAGCACATACTTTTGGACCTGGGAATCCTTGAAACCCCATCAAACCTTGATCTCCATCTTCTCCCTGTAATAGGAGCAGACATCCTTATTACTATTTCATGATGGTAACTCTTGGATTACTTGTTTTGCATCAACAGCTGTGATTACATACAGTCTGTCCTTTCAGCCCAGAGTCTCCTGCTGGTCCTTGGTCACCCTGTGATCCTGGAAGGCCTCTTTTGCCACGCTTTCCTGGATGACCCAGAAGCCCTTTCTCACCCTGTGAATAGGAAGATAATGTATCATTTATTACAGTTATGACTGTTATAAATTTAAAGATTGGTTTCCTGGCAGAAGTGTGGAACATGCTTTCTCTCTAAGAAATAAATCTACTCTATTAATTTTAGTTCCATTAGGAATACTTTCAATAATAACACTTTCACTAAACTGCAAATATGACTTGACTGTTCCTTGACTCAGAAACCTGCAAAAAACATACATATTGGATAATTTCCAGTATGGTATCTCCTTGTGCAAGAACTAAAATGCACAAATGAATTACAGAACAGGAAGATTAGAAGCAAATTTAAAAAGTAATCCTCTGAGCGAGGTATAGTATAATTGTGGAACTCCTTGCTGTTAGACTAAATATTTACATCTATTCAAATGGAAACTAGACATTTTCATGCAAAATAAACCTCTGAGGACTATCAAATACATAGAAACCACGTCCAGCTCAGGAGGTTACTGAGCTGCAACTAAGGCTGTGAATATACACCTTTCATGCCTTCTTTATGTTTACGCTTTTTCCAAGGTGTTACTTTAATGCTGTAACAAAGACAGACTTTTGGCCTGACTCAGTTCGTGCTCTCTTACTGTTTATTTTTCACGATGTAGTAACCATTGTTCCTCACCTACTCCTTGTCTTTTTCAGATTGCAAGTTATTTCTGAGCAGGAACTACCTCCTGTGGCTCATTGTCTAGACAAAGGAGTAAAACCCAGACTGGTAGCATTGGCAATAAACACTACAAATAGTGAATATAGTTTATACTAGAATATTTGCATTAAAAGATAACAGACAGTACTGCCCTCACTCAGTTTTCAATTCATTGGAGCTTTTAAAAACTGCCTACCAGTAAAACCTCAGAGCACTGCAAATCATGATTTTAGATGAAAAATCCTATTCTAAACGGAGAAAATTATCTCTAATATTTCCATTCTTTCATTCTTTTACCATTGCAATTAATCTAATATTATCAGTAGAAGGTGAGGATATGCTGATGTCAAGTACCTGGAACTGCCTGGAAAATGGAGCACTCTCAGATTTCTTTCTTTCTGACAAGGCTGAATAAGAACAGTTTAAGTCCTATGATAAATGAACATCTCATCCATGATTGTTAGCCCCCAGCCTTGGGACTCAGGCTTGAAATTACGGTACTTCTCTGCTAATAGCTTGCTTAGATGTGCAAATCATCCAGCCTGTTCTAGCAGTTACAGAAATTTAAAATTTCAAGTAATATTTGGCCCTAAATCATTAACAACTACAAAGTGGTTTGAATGGAGTTGGGAATAGCATCCAGATGGGTGGGAACTCTGTTTTCAAACTACAGTTTAGAGAAATGAGGTGAGCAGGACTTGCAGTCTCACCTTTCAAATAAGTTTTGATGTCAATTACTCATATGATTAACAGTAGCACAGTGGTTCCACAATCATTGGATGCAGTATGAGGTCTAAGCAATATTAGTAACACTGTACTTAGACAACAAGATCCTGTTTGTGTACCTTTAGTCCAGGTGCTCCTGTGGACCCTGGCATGCCTGGCAATCCCTTGGGACCTCGAGCTCCAGGATAGCCTGCCAGACCTGGTAAGCCTGAGTTTCCTTTATTACCCTTAAATTGAAAATAATTTATTACAAACAGAACAGCCAAACACGTTTTTTCTTTGTATGCTAAAACAGACATGTAACATAGGATCAATCAAAGCCACTTAATGCTTTCTGCAGGTATGGACACATATTGGCAGTATATCAAAATACATGGAAAGATAGTGGTCAGCAGTATCCTCTGGATTTCTGCTAATACTCCAAAAGCAAAGCCCCATCATACTTAGCAACAAAGTTACCTGGACTTAAACCGTGGGGTGGATTGAGGTTTCTGAAGAGTCAAGTTTTTTTTTTTTTGTTGAATGAACCACTGTCAGCAAAGCAAATGCCATAGCCCATTGCAGTTGTTTGGTTCACTGTTTATCTTAAACCTTGTTCTGACCTACCCTAAATATATCATGTTATCATTTGTGTGGAATCATCTACTTAAACATACAAAGACTTCTGTGAACATTCAAGAGAATCAGTTGCTTCTTTAGGATTATGCAATGCATCTTCCCTATTAGAATCCTCCCAGATAGGAATAGTTGCCCAGTTGGACAGTAAGCAATCTTCTGTCCACAGAAGATTGTGCATTCAAGTATATATGGAAGCACTCTTGGGCATACTAGTGACTACTTTTACCTTCCACAGGGAACTGTACAGAATAGAGACACTATGTACATGAGACCTAAATTTTTTTCCCAAACTTGAAAATTTACATGTTCAGACTAATAGCCTTTAATGCTGATCTGTATTTAATTCTTTTCTAACTGAAAGAAGTGAACATTAATCTCCATTAATTATAGAAGGTGACTTCTTGATATGGCTTTTGGGTGAGTGTCTGAGGATTCTGAGCTTACAATAAGGAGCTCCTGATGAAAACAAGATGCTAGATTCATTCATTATAGATGAACAGAAAATATAGTTGAAATTCATCATATTAATTTTTTAAAGAAGGAACTTCGTATCAAGAAACAAATGAGACTACTTTTCCACAGAAACATTAAAAATTCGACATGTTTATTTATAAATACCAGGCATACAAATAATATTAGTATGACTGTGTACACTATGTGGGATTCATATACAATACCTTTACCACATCTAGACAGATCAGAACATTCGTTATGAAAATGTATGAGAACATCAGATAATAAATAAAAGCAACTATTTTTAAAGACAAAAACATGTCACCTGGAGTTAAACCAATTTTGATGTGTTAAAAAACATGAAATGGGAATTTGCTACTATCCAAAATAATATTTCTGTGATGTCATTTAGTAGAAATATATACATACAGATACACTGCCTTTCTTATTTCATATGACATTCGATTAAGCATCCATAGAATTAAAAGGCTTATTGGAAACAGGATTTTTATATTAAATGTGATTTTAAGAGCTTTTTAATATGGTACTGTGGCTTAAAGCCTCATAGGCTGATAAACTTAGATAGCAAAAGTTTTGTTCTTTTTATTTACTGTGGCAAAAATTAGTTAAAAGTGTCTCTTTGTTACAAATTGTAATGCTACTGTATAATGTTAACATGATTATTAATATGGAGTAATTAAATATTTTTTTCATATGAAAGATGAAATTTTTAGTTTAAAGGCAAAAATATACGAATTCTTCGGGGTGATACTCCTAAATCCAACTCCTAAGAATGTTAAGTACGAGAAAGAGGACATTCTCAGAAGCTGGAGATGCTCGAATAGGGAACATCTGCCCCCTACAGGTAACTTGCTTAATGTTCTTTTTGTTCAACCAGGTGGGCAAATTCATACTTGTAATAGAGCCACCTTAATGAAAAGCTAACCAAAGCTAACTTGGCATCTTTTTATAACAATTACCAGTCCATCTAAATAGAACTACTGAGAAATATCATACCCAAAATCAAAGTGGTCAGACTTTCATAAAAAAGAACAACTAAAGGAATTTAGAGATTTCATTCTCTGGAGTGAATAAGCAAAGAGCTGTGTCACTGTTCCCAGAAGCAGCAGGTCACCACTCTTGGCCCACAGCAAGGCACAGACAGACAAAATACCTGTTTCCAACACGTTAAAGACAATACGGAAAATGTGGGATTATTTTAGGGCCTGAGAGGAAACAGCCTCAGTCCATGGCTCATTTTCAGGAACACAACTGTGAAGCCCCTCTCATTAAGAAAGCATTTTCACTTGGTTGTAGTCACTACTAAAGTATGCTAATGAAACAGTTCTCACATCACACTTCCCGTATGCTAACCTTACATCCTGGCCAGAATAGCAGGAGCAAGAGAGAAAGAAAACAAAGAATCTAATTTTCAAGATGCTCAAGGAACTGAGAAAACCTTCTGTTTAAATATCCTGACCTTAGAAAATCTGTAATACAAAATGACATAAAGAAGAGCAAGGTGGAAAGCAACTTACCTTAAGGCCAGGCTTCCCTGACAGGCCAGGCTTGCCAGGGTTCCCGGGAATGCCTTCTGGTCCAGGGTACCCAACTGCTCCTTTCTGCCCTGCTAGTCCTGGTCTTCCCTTGAGAAAAATTCAAATAAAAGACAGCATTATTGTCTCTCTTCATCTTGACCACCACAGAACTAGATTTCAGTCACTGTATTTCCTAAACCCCACATAATAACAGAGACAGTGACACAGATGAACACTCACAGAGGGGACTCTGAGTTAGAATGTTTGGTTTAAAACGCTATTGTCTTAACCTTATACTTGCTGTGTTGTATGCTCTGAGCAACTTCAGCTGAAACCATGGGGCTCACCCCTCTGATTGCCAGGCCTGGAAGATGGCTGATTCTTAAGCTGAAGCAAGGAAACCTAATAAAGTAATCTATTTAAACCTGTAAAAACCCCAAATGTATGTGTTTTCAGCCTTCATTTTACTCAACACTCTGTATTGTACATTTGCAAAATCATGCTGTTCAAATCTGTACATATCAAATATACATACAAAACCACTACATTTGCATGGAAAAGTCTCCTGTCACACACACCAAAGGAATGGTGATTTTTGCCTTTACAATCATTTCCCTTTAGGCTGACATGCAGTATCTTAACAGGCTTGGAATTCTGTAATTCTTTCTGTATGAATGCATTTCTCAGAAATGTAAAATATGCTAACTACAACACATCTAATTTGAAAATATATAGTCAGCAACAGCCATATAGAATATAAGCAGCATGCCATCTTAATCTCATTTCTAACTTCTGGCTGCTGGATCATCTTGTATTTGGATGTGCTTTAAGACTTAAGTTTTAGATTTACTGTCTTCTCCTCACTTTTCCATATGTCTTTCTTTTCTCTCCTTTCCTTTGTTTGCCCGATGATGTGCCCTATGCAGTCCTCCAGAAGGAAGAGCCAGTTATTTACAAAAAAGAAGCAGTCTCCTTGCCTTCAAAAGGCTGCTTTTGCACTCTACCCAGCAGGTACAAGCTCTGTGAAGCAGCTGCATTTCTTTGGTGACTGATAATGTTTTGATGTAAAGTAGTAAAAGTTGTTTACAATATGTGCTTGTGTGGTATTATTTATTAGGGGACCAAAATAGCTTGATGTGTTTTGTTCTTGGTTATGTTTACAGAACTCCTACTGCTTCCTGCTCTTTCTTCTCCCTCAAGGAGAAAGGGACACAAGTCAGCTTCTCTACGGTGACTCAAGAAAGAGCATTAAAAATTTCAGCTCAGGGCAAGTGAGAGAAAGAAGTAAACCTCAAGGGATCTGCCAGCCATATCCATCATGGACATATGGATCCAGGCTTCTGACGGATGCAGCTGTTCAAAGAACTGCTGGGAGCCAGGAGTAAACAGTAGTACAGCTCTGTGCAATATAATGTGATAAGTTGCACATGGACTACATGCCAAATGCAAAAATTATCCAATTAAGTAACTTTACAAGTGGGAAGGACATTGTTGCTATATTAGCTGCACTCCAATTCTTTGTGCTGACTATAATTCAATGTTATTTTACACAGTTTCAAAAATTATTCCTATTTTGGTATGGGTTCCTTTACACTTCCTGACTAATAAGAAGTAATTTAGAGTGAGCATAAGAGTTTCTGGTACCACTGGCATAACAATTTTGTTTCTACTAGTTACTATTTTCTTTGCTTTATAACCTGAAGATAGAATGAAAATTGTTACTTACAGGAATTCCAGGCTTGCCTGCCTGACCCGTTGCTCCTTTCTTTCCTGTGGGTCCCTAAAAGTTACAAATGCTTGTGAGCTGACATCTTAAACCCAGCCCCCTAGGAAGAGCTAAGAATTTTTCCCCTCTAATATATAATCACATTGCTTGGCTTTGGACCTGATTATTTCCTTTCCAAGAGACAGCAGGAAGTTTTTCAAAAAGAAGTTAAATATATTTTTGGTAGAATTGTATGTATTTTTCCTTTCCCCAATTGGCAAAGTGTAGTTTTCAGAACTTTCTCAACAACAATAAGCTTAAAAAGTTTTCCACATGGAATCTGCCTACTTCTTCTCCATCAGCCACCCCTCTGCCAGGAAGTATGCTTTTATGGCACTTCCTGTACTGTTTAAAAAGGGAAGTTCTGAAAAGTAGGCAATGGAGATGCACTGAGTGTGTGTGGAATACTCAAAAACAATAGTGTCACATATGGGAACATTCTTTTATCTAAGATCACAGACTAATAGAATAGTTTGGGTTGGAAGGGACCCTAAATATCATCTAGTTCCAACCTCCCTGCATGGGCAGGGATGCAAACAAAAGACGAAATTTACTTAAAATCAGACTTTTTTCTGGTCTTGACTATCTAGGAATCTTTACTCTTAGAAAACCAAGTGATACTTACAGCAGACAACAGAGATACAGGAGGCCAAGCACCAAGGAATAAAAGCTCAGAATGGGTCAAAAACATCTCAGATAATTTTGTGTATAGGATACTCTTCACAAAATATAAAATTCTATGGCATGAAATTTATCCTACTTCTAAAAGGTACAACCAGCAGGGTTGGACAGCAGGGACAAGCATAACATTTGTTAGCATAGATAAAGTAGAAAAAAACTTCAGATTTTCTGGATTAATAATTTTAAACACTGCTCTTAAAGCAAAAGTGATGCTCAAATGCTATGCTGCAATGTTATATAACATGCAATTAAGTGAAAAAGGTAACTTAATTGTAAGTGTAAATGTTTCATAATTAATATAAACATGACAAAATGTTCTATTCCTTAATTTAATGCCTTTTTGTTAAGACAGGCATAAAAAAGTCCACCAATCAGAACTCAAATATGTGTATTCAAAGACATTGATACTGTTTTTTTTTAAAATGACAGAGTGCATCTAAAGCAAACCCAGACAATTCAGCATTGCAGTTTATGGGACTGACTTTGTCAGGCTGGCTATTGCAGCACCACTCTTGCCACTGAAGCTAAGAATTGTTGGGACGTTTGCACTCTTAAAGTTTTGTGTAAACCTTTAGGCTCTTTTGGGTTGCTCCAGGCTGGGTATTGGTTCCATATTTGCAAAGGGCAGTCTAAATCTGAGTGGCATTTGCAATACAAAGAAAATATTCTCCAAGGGAAAGACAGAGGAATGACTGATTTTATCCTGTGCTGCAAGTAGTTTGTCAAAGATAATATATCTGAGTGTGGCTAGAGTACATGCTGTCAATGTCTTCACTTCATGTTTCTTTTCTATTTCTCCCCATTCCTAATATACTGCAGATTCTTGTGTTTAGCTACAACATTTTTAAACTCTGAGAGTCGCACTATGGAAAACTGTCAGACAAAATATCTCAAGTTAAGCTGAAATGGCAACTGGTACTATAAGAAATCTTTTAACCTAAATGTTTTGGAATCTTAAAAGCCAATAAAATGAATACCATGGGAAAATACAAAAGACTTTTGGCAACTTTCAATACACCACCCAGATGAACTATTATTTCTAAAGGAACAGATTTAATCTTTGAACTTTTTTATTACTTGCTCTTACATTATAACTCTACTATTCTGTAGTAAAATCCTTATTTCCAGGTCTCTGAAAATTCAACCAGAGGCTACATTTACAGATCAGAGCAGTAAAATCCTGGGTTTCTTTTATTGCTAGTTTGCCACAAGGAACTCAGTTTAGCAGTGTAACAGAAAATCACTCAAATGTTTACAAAAGAGCTTCTCATAATGCTTTATATCACCCCAAAGTAAGACCACTTACCTATCAAATAACACATATTTACTATCCTACATAACCATGCAATTTTCCCTTCTATATTTTTATTGTCCCTAGAAGTACAAAAAGGAAACCCAAACACTGAGTTTTAGCCTTATACAACAGTTCTCAGGATAGCTAGTGAGGATAGCCAGTGAAAAGTAAAAACATACAAATTTCCATTTAGTGCAGTTTTACTTTACTTTTTTCTACTTACTTCTGACCCTCTTTCTCCTTTTGGTCCTTGCTCTCCCAATTCACCTGGCTCTCCCTTTGGAAAGAACATATAATAAATAAACTAAAATAATAATTTGAATGCAGTTGAAAATGCACTGTTAAGAGCCAACAGAGAAATCTCACTTGCTTGAAACACTTACTGGAGGTCCCTGTTGTCCAATAGGTCCTCTAAGCCCTGGAAGACCTATATGGCCCTGGGAAGCAGAAAATGTAAGATATTGCAATACAGATAAATCAGGATGTCACACTCAGTCAGCTATAGATTTCCTTGCAAAGCCCATCTTAAGAGATGGGTGAAGAGATGGATTCACTGACATGACTTAGATAAAATATGCTCAGCTCTGCTAAGATCAGGCTTTAGAGAGCTTTTCTTTTTAAATTCTTTACTCCAAAATGCAAGCAGGTATTGCTTATTTTTCAACATTTCTGTACTTCTGTAAGCACAGATCGTATTCAGTTCATTGATTTATTACTATGTCTATCTGCATTATCTGTGTAACTTAAACAAGATGTTTCATGTCAAAGATTGTCTCTTTTGTATTTCAGCAAACTGCATCAGTGATTAGCATGAGTTACCATCCAATTTGTATACACTGCAAGACTGAATACAACGAATGAATAATTACTAGATTTACAAAGAAACAGTGCATAAAATTCTGAGAAAAACTGTTCATTCATTCAGTATTACAGAATCATAGAACTGTCTAGCTTGAAAGGGACCTCTTGAGATCATTTAGAGCAACCCCCACTCCTCAAGCAGGGCCAAGTAGAAAAGATTGTCCAGGATCATGTCCGGACAGGTTTTGAGTCTTCCCAAGGATAGAGAGTGCACAGCCTCTCTGGGCAGCCTGTTCTGGTGCTCACTCATCCTCAAAGCAAAAAAAGGAATTTCTTGCATTCAAAAGGAATTTAAGGTGTTTCAGTTTATGTCCTTTGCCTCTTGTCCTGTCACAGGACACAGCTCATGAGTCCCAGCTCTCTCAACTTTTCTTCATATGATAGATGCTCCAGTGTGTCCTAAGAGCTCATTAACAGAGCAAGGCACCAGCAAATACAGCTTTGCACATTTGAGAGAAGATGATACTTCTGCTATATTACTTTACATGTATGAATAGCATGCCATGTTCAAATAAAAAGAAAAAGTTATCACCTTGTAGCCCTCATCACCAGGTTCTCCTCTATCTCCACGTTCACCACTAGGACCCTAGAGAAAAAAACAAAGAATGAAATCTAACAGCTGAACTGAAATAGTACTGCAGTGAAGTACAAAAAGAAAGCTGGGATTTCTTTTAAAACAGACTAACCAACTAGACAGAACTGAGGATTACAAATATTAAAGTTAGCTTGTTTAAAGGAATAAACATGATTTTTTTCCTAAACAAAACACACTGCAGTCAGACAGTAGCAATTGTCTAAAATATTTTGTAACTGAAGACTAGAAGCTAAAAGGTAGATCTTACATGGACATAAATGAAATGCATTGAACTCAGTAGAACTTTGCCAGGTTTATACCCATATGACATTTGAATTAAAAATCTCCATAAATAAATGAAGAGACGTTGCTTTCAAGACATGCAAGGAATTATGATTTCTGTAAAACAACACAGGAAAAATTGGGTTTGTTTCTGAAATAACTTGCTGTACTCAGAATCTACTTTAATTTTGAAGTTTGTCCTAATAAGGCAATTTCAGTCCCTCAACATACCTCACACTTATGAGAACTGTACAGGAGCAGAGGGAATAGTGTGACTTTTGAGAGTCATGGGGTTCTTTCTGTTGCATTCAGACACCACCTAGCTCTACTTTAGGGAAAGGCTCTTACTCCACAAGAAATGGAATATTTCCCCAGCATTTTAACTCTCTTTGCAGCAAATGGACCTAATTTCAGCCAAAGGAATAGTGATGGGGTGGAGAATCAGGCCCATAGAATGTAAGAATGGCCAAGACTTTCCAAAAGACATGCAGCTAACAATCAGCTGAAATAATAAGGGACTGACTTTCTCCCCACCAGTCCCCTAAGTAAAGGCACATAATGAAAAAATGGCTGGGCTTCACTAACTGCAGTGTATCTCTACAGTTCACAAATGAATAAATTAGCCACTCTGGTGTATATCCACCAATAGATACTATTGTGCAACTCCTTGTATACTCTCCAAGGTTTCAACAGCCTCGTGGCATGTTTCCTGGATTCACTGGAGTTTCTTCTCTTGTGCATTATCATAATTAAGAAGATAGTCCAGACTCTGTCTTCAGTTACATCAGGATCTTAAAGTCCTGCTCTTGGAAGAGCGAGGAGAGGTATAAACACTGAGGTTAACCTGAAGTAGGCTGTACACATATTACTTCTGGCACAACCAAATTCTGAACATGACACTTTTCTAGTAAGATTTTGAGATGGCTTTTTTTTTTTGGACACATTTGTAATTGCTGCAGAGAGATACCCCACATATGAATTAAGTTAAAAAACAGTTACGAAATGCAGCTCTCTAAATCAGCTAAATTAGCTTTGTAGTGATAATGAAATAAGTCAAAACATATTTCTGGTTGGTAAAGCAATTAGGTACAATTCAGGATAAACAGAGAGGGTAAAATTCTGTTCCAGAATGTGCTGGTCTAAACACAGTCTAATGGCATTAGTGTAATTAAACTCAGGGCACATAGTGTAAAGCAGAAAAGAACACATGACTGCATTTTTCAGAGAGGGATTATGGATTAAAGGACCATCATTCTACAGTTTTCTACAAGAGGGTACTAACTCCTGAAGCACCAATATAAAGTTTCAGAAACAACCTGCATTATCTCTTGCCTTGAGAAGCCCTAGTATAATTTTTTTGAGAAAGACCTACTGGTTCACCTATGGTCCCAGGTGGTCCAAGGACTGTATTGTCTTCACCTGGATAACCCTAAAACAAAGATAAGTATTAAAAAATTTTAACTTGGAAAGTCAACCACATCTACAATGCACACATGCTTGAATGCTAGTAAACACCTAGAGAAGCTACTTAATAGATGCCAAAAATAGATGGTAAAAGTGGATATAATGCTTATGGTTTTGATACAGGGGAATGGTAATTCCATTTTAATATGCCCTAGGTGTTCCTAAGACATTTAGGACTAAAAAAGCCAAGTATTTGTTTTGTTCTCAAAGGCAGCTATTAAGAAAACCCTCAGAACCTCTTTATAACATCAGCCAGTAATTGTCTTCTAGCAATATTCATGGCAAAACTGGCCCTAATATAAGATCATGTTTCTCTGCTTGGTGCAACTCCAAACAAATCTTCAAGAAGGCAAACCCTGTACCTGCCTGGGGTCACACAGACTTCAGTCAGCATTCAAATCTGTTTGCAGGATTTGAGACTTAAAAGAGTAACAGTCAATTTGACAATAAAAGAGCAGCACTGAGGCAAAAGTGTGGCTCTAAAAGTTTCTATTAAGCACAGACTTTTGTCAATCTTAGTTGGACTTTCAGCAAAATCCATGCGGGTAGTCACAGGCTTAAAGCTAAGGAAATGGTTACCTGGTTTCACACTGATTATTTCTGTCAGCAGTGCTCATTGAGGGCAGTGGTGCTATCTAATACAATAGAATGTATTTCTTAAAATGGGTACCTTGTGTTTTAAAACCTAAAACATTTTAACTGCATAATTTGAAACACTGTCTCTGAATTATCTGTTTCCCCATTTTCTGCCCTTTTTTTTTTTTTTCTTTTTCTCTCACAGTACTGTAAATATTGTAAAGGGTTTCTTTTGTTGCATGTTGTGGAAAACAAGAGAGCATGCAGTGACATTTCCTCCTTTTATAATGGCTCAAACTGTAAGACAGTATAATCTATCTTCATACCTTTTCTCCTTTGGGTCCTGGAGGCCCTGAGGGGCCTGGAGGACCCTGGTGACCCTAAAGAAACAAATGAAACAGAATTACTTCCAAAACAAATAATTATAGACATAATTATTTCCCCACTCTTTTTTAGCTACTTGCTACTATAGTAAATATTGTAAAGGGTTTCTTTTGTTGCATGTTGTGGAAAACAAGAGAGCATGCAGTGACATTTCCTCCTTTTATAATGGCTCAAACTGTAAGACAGTATAATCTATCTTCATACCTTTTCTCCTTTGGGTCCTGGAGGCCCTGAGGGGCCTGGAGGACCCTGGTGACCCTAAAGAAACAAATGAAACAGAATTACTTCCAAAACAAATAATTATAGACATAATTATTTCCCCACTCTTTTTTAGCTACTTGCTACTATTATTTGTTTTGCTCCTTGCTAATAATACTAAGTATTGATGATGTGTCACACAACTAATGGGCCCAGCCAGAAAATGTATTGTGTGCAGGGAAAGTTCTGTGCTCAGGGAGAAACCAAAAGTTCTGGCAGGTGACAGGAGCTGGGCTGGTTCTCACTTTAGGGTTAGAGCCACTGATGGAAGTTTCTGTTTGAAAAAAAGACAGGAGCCTGGTCTGTAAGAGCAGGACTCAATCCCTCAATGGTGATTATCACAATTATTTTTCACTGCAAGCCACAATATCTTCATATCTTTCAACTAACTCCATTTGATCAGTTTCTGTTACTAAAAGGGAAACTGCCTGGCCAGGCAGTAAGCAGAGGTGTTTGCTGAACTGTCTTTATAATGAAAACTGTAGTAGTTTTATAGGAACTTTATTCACAAGGGTTGAGATAATTTGGACAAATAAGGTTTTCAAACCTGTGATAAAAAGCAACTGCTAGTGAACTCACAAAGCCAGTTATCATTGCTTAAGGCTAACATTTCTGAGTAGGCAATCATCTGTGATATAAACACGTGCAAGTATCTGAGACTTCTAAAGTTATTTGTGTATTCTAGATACAGATTCCCATGATTTGAAATAATTTAGAGTACCATAGGCATACTTAGGGATATGTGTGTACATGAATTCAGTAAAAAACTCACCCCATAACCTGGATTTCCTGGCTCTCCTTCAGGTCCCATTCCTCCTAGGTGTCCCTGTTAAATGCAATAATTAATGACAGAAAATAAGATCACTTGTAGACTGTTACAACAATGCCTAGTTTATAAAGTTATCGTTTCAAACATTGACATTTGAGAACTACAGACAACTTCCTCATTAGGTCCAGCTTCATTAGGTAAAGAATTCTGGGCTTTTCCCTGTTCTGTGGGAAAAAAAATGGTCAACATTTTCAGTCCTAATCTTATAATCTCAGTGCATAATTAAAATCAAAAGGATCTCAGCTTTCAGACATGCAGAGGAACTCTGTTTATAAAGCTAAGTAGGCCCAGAAAAGCTGAGGATGGTCCTCACTTTAGGAAGTTGAGTCCTTCTCTTGAAAATATTAGTCATTAGGTAGCTACTTTATGTTGTGAACTTCATGTGTTCATGGACACAGTGCTGCATTCAGTGGCTACAGGACAGGGCCCTGAAGCAGTAAGATGGACATGTTGTCTCACTCCTGCAGAGGCTGAGTATGTTTGTGCATCTGCCACACAGTGTGGGGCAAGCTCAGGGAGCTTGTGATGAAAGCAGCTCAAAGTAATGGAAATACACTTAATTCAGTAAACTTAGTATCAGGTTCCCATTCTATAGGACTAGCAGTCCTCATCTGAAATGCTTTGTTTCAGCCACTGCTAAAATTTATTTTATATAATAGCAAGCCCCGTGATTTCTGTTCTTGGAATTGGAAATGTTTAACAGACACAGCAATGAGGTTATATGGAGACCGTGGCACATGAGTATTCCATGGTATGCCCTGCCATCCTGCTCCTCTGACTGTCAGACTAGGAACCTGACCAGAGCATGAGAAGACTCCTTCCAGGTCCATGGCTCAGGTTCCTGTCTGAAAAGGTGCACAGGTCTCATTCTGATGCCAAAAGACCAGGACAAGCACCAGGACAAATGGGCTGGGAAGGACACTGCATCTCTAGCTACCTCAAAAAATATTTATACTTGCTACAGCTGTGACTTGTCTCTTCCCATGGAGAAACAAGATTCTGCAAAACCAGAGATACATGAACTGAATAAACATATTTTGTACGAACCAAGGGACCTCGAGTTCCTCTTGCACCTTTGGGACCAATTTCTCCAGGTCGGCCAGAGTCACCAGCAGGTCCAATTTCTCCAGGAAGGCCAAGCTGCCCCTTTTCCCCCTGTTGGTGTTATCATATTAAAAATAATAAGAGACTGATACTAAGTTCCCAATTTATTTACTTAATGGGACTATTATATTTACAGATGTATTTAGTGTAGTTCTTAGAATGTCTGAACTCAGAACTCTGCTGTGAAAAAAACCCTTCTGCTAAAGCCTTTCTGTTATTTTGGTTTTTGATAGCAGCAGAAGCTGTTCTGAGTTGCAAAATCACATCCCGATACAAATTTACATTTCCTAAGGTCCTGAATGTTATTGATTGCTGAATGATGACAATTCTAACTGCTATGGCTAGCAAGAAAATAAACTGAACTGAAGCAGGACATAAAACAGGGATATACTTGGTTCAATGGAATTATTTTATAATGTAAATTTGAATTTCAGATAGAAAGAAGGGAATTAGGGAAGACAAAAAATACTACCTTCTTTCCTAAACGGCCTCTCTGACCTGGATTTCCTGGTGTTCCTTCAGGGCCCTGAACATTTATTAGAGGGAGGAAAAAAAAAATAAATATTAAGAAAGACCTGGAAACATGTTTAAACTATGCTTCAAATTGGATAACTAAGTAGGCTTTTAGAGGAAAAAAATCTTATTCACTGTGACTGTAAACAAGTTAGTAGGACTGTTTCAAGTTACAAAAAAAGAAAAAAAAATTAAAAATGTGGGCAAGCATCAGGGATCACTTATCAAACTAGTGAAAAAATGCACTGAAACTAGGAGGGAAAAGCCAATACATCCTGTCCACACAGAAAATATTAGTTTAGGAATAAAATTGCTTTAAGACAACCACTGACTGGATTTAGAGAAATACAGTGCACAACCAGAGGAAAACTAAGTAAACCTTGGGGCTGTCAAGTGTGAAGAGCAGGGTCCTGACACAACTTGCTGTAGAGCAGAGACCTAATTCAGTAAGTGCTGGTGCCTAGCACTGCCTGCCTCTTGGTGACTGTGTAATTGAGTGTGCTGCCTGTATGTGAAGGTGCTATGGAGGGACAGCCCCAGTGCCCTCTAGGTCAAGTCAAAAGCAACCCTCCCAAAGGGCTGGATGTGTGCACTGCTCACTGGTTTTAATTTACCCAAAAGCTCAGTAAGTTAGAAGAGGTAATTTAGCTTCAGTTTTGGATAAAGGGTTTTTGTTCAAGTCATTGTGGTGATAAGCCAAGGTAAATACAGTTTAAATTGATTTGTGAAGCTTATTTGTTGTTTTGTAAGCTCTTGTTCAAGGAAAACATATTACTCTCACCTTCAATAAAACCCCCAGACAATCGATTTTAGGAAACCAATGTCCATGTTTAGACCAGGATGTTGTGATCTATCTGCATCCTTAGAAGGAGGTCAAACCAAAACCGTGATGTGAACAGTCCCAGACACCAAGGAAGATGAGTGGGGAGGGAGGCAGCTCTGCCAGCTGCCTTTGGAATATGTGGAACAGAAACGTGAAAAATCCTCCACTAACCACATCCTCCCAAACATCAAATTGCCTCACTGAGGCACAGCAGCACTGCTCATGTTGTTTACTGTATACAAGTATAATTACACACAATGTAGATAAACCAGGGCTGAGCTGTTTTACGGTAATTTCAATGTATGAAACTTTCGGGCTTCTCCAGAATTGCCAAGCCAAAACAGAAAAAAGAAGTCAGAGTGGTATAAGTGTATCAGAAACAAAAATTGTTCTGTAGCATACAGAGTGTGCTGACAACTAATGGGCATTTTTTCCTTTACCAGGAGAGTAGTTCACTGTGAAGGACCCAGGACTAAAGACAGCACATTGTAACACTGATGCTGAGAGGACAGAGCAGACAGTGCTTGCAGCTGTTGACAGCTGGCCCTCCAACTGATGTTTACTCAGACTCCTGATCACATAAGAGCTACAGAGAAGGCAGCCAGAGGACTGCGAATGAGAAAATGATGGTTTTGGTAAAGGAATCTGACGTCTGACTTGAGGCTACATACTTGCTTTGGAAACTGTGCTCCAGAATATTAGCTCACATTAAGAAGTTGCAGAAAACTTCAGAAAAAGAGACTTTCTGGATGGATTTTAGCTGCTAAGTGTGATGCCAGAACAAATACATGAACTGATTAACAATGCTGACTGTAGATTCCAGTACTTTTTTACTATCTGACTGGTGTATGCTTGCTGCCATTTCTCTCCATCTGCAATCTCTGTTTCAGTTGTCTGGCAACTGGTGCTCTCGTGATATGTTTGTTTAATTCCTTTCACAGAGCCATCAAAATGAAATTAGTTAAAGAATAAATTCCTTTTAATAACAAAATGGAATAGTGAAATCCTTTCTTCTCTCTCCATTTTATAGTATATGCCTTCTTACTGGGTGATTGGCAAGGTAAGAAGAGAAGGTCCACAGACCATCGCACCACAAAATTATAATCCAAAGTAGCACTACCTGGTATGATAAACCCTCATTTCTGAAAGTCAGTTCCAATGCAGGATGGAGAACATCCATAGCACTGTATTTACAACACTTTGGCAGCAGTATAGAAAGATCACTCTTAGGAAAGGCAGGGCATTCAACTGATCAGGAACAAACAGCAGGAGTACTCTGGATTATCTGGTATCTGTCATGGGATACTGGTTTAAAATTACTTTTGATTCCTCCAATTCCTTACCAGAGAAGGTGCATTAATCTACACCAACCCTGTAAGGAATTCTGTCCTGTTGGTGTGTAACTAAAGAAACCTCAATGTTCAGGGTGTCACTTTTTCTATAAATGTTATTTTTAGACCTTCCTTTTTTGTTGTTCAGGCTTATTAAAAGAAATGACAGCTAAGCATGTATGTGGTAAGACCATTAGCACAAAATCTTCAATGAGAGCCAAATCTTGCATGTTGTAAGGTCTAACACTGCATCATTTACAAGCTGCTCAAAATGGCAGTTCTTTGCCCCAATGAACTTTTAATCTAAGTCAAAAACGAGATAGTCCTGGGACTGTAAACAAAGCCATGAGCAGGGAAAGTGCTGCAAAACAACGGAAGATCTTGGAGCACAGTTTATGATAATGTAACATCTTGCTAATTCCTTTGGGTGATTTTACAATGTAAAGAATTATCTGATACCTTGAGATTGCTCACAGTCTCCAACTGAAGGTGAGGAGAGAGACTAATGACAGAAGGTTGTCTGGAGAGGAAAGATATGCAGCGAGAGGCTCCAAGTTGTGTGGGTCTATGTGTCTAGATGACAAGTGGTGAGGAGTCACTATCTACTAAGAGGATCCAGTTTTAAGACAGGAAAAACATTTCTCCCCTGTCTACCAACCCTGAAAAGCTAAACCACATAGAACCTAAAGATGGTCCTCTCTAATTGCAACAGAAAATAAAAAATAAAAGCAGCAAGCAAAATTAAAAAGAAAATAAACACAAAAAGCAAATAAACAAAAAGTCCAGTTAAATCTTAAAAAACTTACAGGAATG